ACCCACACCAGTCACCCCCTAAACACCAGGGTAAGACCCACACCAATCACTAACACCCAGGGTTTTGGGTTTTGACCCACACCAATCAGCCTAAACACCAGGGTGTGACCCACACAATAGCTAACCCAGGGTGTGCCCCACACCAATCACTAACAACCAGGGTGTGACACACTCCAATCACCTAACACCCAGGGTGTGACCCACACCAATCCCTAACACCCAGGGTATGACCCACACAAGCACCAAAAACACCCAGGGAGAGACCCACACCATTCAGCTAACACCAGGGTGTGGACCCACACCAGTCAACCCTAATACCCAGTGTGGCCACACCAGTCACCTAACACTCAGGTGATGACCCACACAATAAGCTAAACACCCAGGTGTGACCATACCAATTCACCTACAATTAGGGTGTACCCACCCAATCCACTAATAACAGAATGCAACCCACCCAGTCCAGTAATAACCAGGATGTAACCAAAAACGTCCCTCCACTACACCAGCATGCGACCAACAACATACACCTAACACCCAGGGTGCATCCCCACATCGTCCACTATAACCTGGATGAAACCAAAAACAGTTCATACTACCCAGGAATCAACCCAATTCAGCTCACTCATACCAGGATGCAAACCCACAATAGTCCACTACCACCCAGGTACCTATTTTACTGCTAGGACAAACTGGAACGCAGGTATGGTTTAAGGAAACACGTCCTAAGTTTCCAGCTGTACCAGCGATTCTACCCCCCCAGGTCTTCAGTGTGTGAGGCCAATCTGCCTACAACCCAGCCACAGGGGTGGAACAGAATGTAAAATTTTATCTTAATTGTAATCTGTCTAGTTCACTCACAATTAACCAAATCAGCAATTGACCACACCAGCAAGACACAACACGTCCACAGACAATGTACATTGATGTCTTCCTGATGAGGTCTGTTGCCTCTTGCATTTTACGTTATTATGTATATTTAACAACCATGACCTTGCAGTCTAAGGCCAAACATTAAATAGGCGGCCTTGCTGCTTCCTATTGTTATAGGTGGCTAAGAGCCACCTGTAATATATATTTTTGATGGTACTGGTACATCTTACCATTCAGTTTACCCAAGTATCGCACGTATGTGGAACCTCGGTACTCGAACACTTCCCTACTTGAACAATCAGTATTCGAATGCTTACTTGGGGTAAAAACAATGCTCAGTGGTTGACAATTCTTGCTCGCAACTTACCAAAACAAACACTATTGGCAGAACTTCCTTTTGAACTATTTTGTGTTTCTTCACATTTTTTTGTTGTCTTTTAATTTTTTATTATTTCTATAAATAAATCACGGTGGTGTAGTGGAGTGATAACAGCCAACAAAAAAGAAATTGGTTGGGGAACTAAATTTAAAAAGATAAACTCCTTTTTGTTTTTATATCACCCCAACTGGGTGCGATGTAGCAGTTGTTGAAAAAATATTAACTGAACATTACTAGGATAAACACCAAAATGTCATAGCCCATTCATTCTTACGAACTTAACTAATCCTCCTACTTGCTGCTATATTGGCAGTAGTATTTATGAGCAGGGCATTATGGTGCAACATGGTCTCTAATATTTGTAAAAAAATACATATTAAATGTGGTATAAGTAATTCCCAAATATAATAAATAATGTCAAGTGTGTTCTGAGGACTTATAGAAAATGCTATATACAAATTATTAAAGCACAATATACAGTGCATCTTTACTTTCTTTTAATTATAATGTCAAAAACCATTCTGGTGTTGATAGCAGATTGCACCTGCTTCAATTCTTATAATTTTTTTTGGTGCTTCTGCCAAACTACTGTTCACACCCACCAACTGGCAAATTTCTCCAGGTAATCAACATAAAGAATTAGACATTTCATATTGAATTACATTTCACATACATATGCCTTGGTTGGGAATTTTGCATTGGTTATTTGTAAAGTTTTTAATGTTAATGTAAAAACTGTTATTCTAACTAATACAGTATATAATGAAAAACAACCCAGGATTCCATAGACTAGCCGCCCAGCTTTAACCAGCAGGTTAGCGTTTCGGGTACTGATCTTAAAAAAAAAATTGCTGAACAAGTTGAAAACCGCGTTTTCCACTTTCCAGTGAATGTAAAAAGCTTGATAACATATTTACTATATCATAGAACTAGGTGTAAAAAATGATATTACACCCTTAATCATTTTGCGACATACTCGTTTACAAATGCGCAAACCCTTAAGAAAGCTCTCTAACAGTAGTGTACCTACATAATGTCCAGAGCACCCTTTGTTATCGGCGCTCCTGTTATTGGCAACTCAGTGATCGGCGGTTTTTGCGGCTCCCGGTTGATGCCCATTACTTTTGGTATCAGCCCTTCGGACGCGTTGTCCACCGGCGGGGCTGGCTTGCGGCAGTTTGGCTGTCTTTAGTGCGTGAGGGAAAGCCTTTCTGTCATACATCCAACATTTGCTATCTTTCCATTGTTTTTTAGTGTTTTTTTGGCAGTTTGCAACTGCAAATAAATAACCATGGGCTCCAAAAGCAATTCCTAGTAAAGTTCCTTGTGGTCAAAGAAAGTGAGAAATACCATGGAATTTAAGCATGAAGTGTATGTAGCAGCATGAGAGAGTGTAGCAGGATGCGCGAGTGTAACAGGCATGAGGAAGTGTAGCAGGATGCAAGGAGTATAACAGGCATGCAAGGAGTTGTAGCAGGCATGCAGGGTGTGTAACAGCCATGCAGGTAGCTGTAGCAGGGAGTGCACGGAGTGTAACAGGCAAAACCAACACACCCCCCTTGTCTAAGCCTTTTTTCGGGGAAAAAATTTTTCTTTTCCTACATACTCAACTTAGCCTCATTCCCGTAAAAACTCTTCACTGCTTTCAGTAACCTACCTCCTACACCATACACTTGCAACATCTCCCACATTGCCCCCCTATCCACCCTGTCATAGCCTTTTCCAAATTCCATAAATGCCACAAAGGACCTTTTTAGCCTTATCTAAATACTGTTCACTTATATGTTTCACTGTAAAACACCGGGTCCACACACCCCTACCTTTCCTAAAGCCTCCTTGTTCATCTGCTATCCTATTCTCCGTCTTACTTTTAAATTTTTTCAATTATAACTCTACCATACACTTTCCCAGGTACACTCAACAGACTTATCCCCCTATAATTTTTGCACTCTCTTTATCCCCTTTGCCTTTATACAAAGGAACTATGCATGCTCCTGCCAATCCCTAGGTACCTTACCCTCTTCCATACATTTATTAAATAATTGACCAACCACTCCAAAACTATATCCCCCACCTGCTTTTAAACATTTTATCTTTATCCCATCAATCCCCGGCTCCCTTTAAACCCCCTTTCATTTTACCTACTGCCTCACGACTTCCCCTACACTCACAACTGGTCTTCCTCACTCCTACAAGATGTATTCCTCCTTGCCCTATACACGAAATCACAGTTTCCCCCTATCTTCTTTCAACATTTAACAATTCCTCAAAATATTCCTTCCATCTTCCCAATACCTCTAACTCTCCATTTAATAACTCTCCTCCCCTATTTTTAACTGACAAATCAATTTGTTCTCTAGGCTTTCTTAACTTGTTAACTCACTCCAAAACTTTTTCTTATTTTCAACAAAAATTTGTTGAAAACATCTCACCCACTTCTCATTTGCTCTTTTTTTACATTGCTTCACCACTCTCTTAACCTCTCTCTTTTTCTCCATATACTCTTCCCTCCTTGCTTCACTTCTATTTTTTGTAAAAACTTCTCATATGCTAACTTTTTCTCCCTTACTACTCTCTTTACATCATCATTCCACCAATCGCTCCTCTTCCCTCCTGCACCCACTTTCCTGTACCACAAACTTCTCTGGAACACTCTAACACTACATTTTTTAAACCTACCCCATACCTCTTCGACCCCATTGCCTATGCTCTCATTAGCCCATCTATCCTCCAATAGCTGTTTATATCTTACCCAAAATGCCTCCTCTTTTAGTTTATAAACCTTCACCTCTCTCTTCCGTGATGCTTCTAATTCTCCTTGTATCCCATCTCCCTTTTTCTCTCAGGTGTAGCTTACAACTAGAAAGTGATCTGATATATCTGTGGCCCCCCTATAAACATGTACATCCTGAAGTCTACTCAACAGTCTTTTATCTACCCAAAACATAATCCAACAAACTACTGTCATTTCGCCCTACATCATATCGTGTATACTTATTTATCCTCTTTTTCTTAAAATATGTATTACCTATAACTAAACCCCCTTTTTATACAAAATTCAATCAAAGGGCTCCCATTATCATTTACACCCGGCACCCCAAACTTACCTACCCACACCCTCTCTAAAAATTTTCCTACTTTAGCATTCAAGTCCCCTACCACAATTACTCTCTCACTTGGTTCAAAGCTCCTATACATTCACTTAACATCTCCCAAAATCTCTCTCTCTCCTCTGCATTCCCTCTCTTCTCCAGGTGGGATACACGCTTATTATGACCCACTTCTCGCATCCAACCTTTACTTTAATCCACATAATTTTTTGAATTTAGTAACTATAGGTCATCGTATGCTCCTTCATAAGATCATTTTACATTAATTTGTTATTTTTGCTTGACTCCTCAGATACTCCTTTGATTTTCTGCATGTATATTCCATTACTGTTTACCCTTCATTTGTTCATTAAATAAGGGTTGGATCAGGATTCAATTCTTTTAATTCATAAATAGAATTTGTTGCATCTATATTGAATTTAAAGCAACCAGTAAATTTTTTTTTTTTTAATTGTAAAAAAATAGCCCATGCTTGCAATATTAGCCATTGCGGGTTACGTTCCTTTATATGCATAGAAATTAAATGAACGGCTTGTTTAAAAAAAAGGAGAATATCTATTAAATTATTATAATATGATGTAACAGGGCCCATAAGTTTTATTGGAGTATAGTAACCTGCCTGCCGCCCGGTGTGCCGGTGTATGGTTAGCTGTGATGTTCGATGGTTATACCCCCCCTTCCCCCCCCCCTTTATGTTCAACTACTCTACTGAGTGTTGGTGAGTCACGTCACATGACCCACTTGACCTGTATGCTCAAGGTTGAGGGACGAGCAGTGAACAAGTAGCAGCCAACGAGAACACTCCTGCTCGTCTCTGGTAACTGGCCAAAGTTTATAATCCGGCCTGGACATATTCTGTTTTATTCTGACTGCTTCCAATTGGGAAACAAGACTTCATACATTAAAGTAATCTCTATATACATATATGTTATATCTAGGATCTCCTCCTAATCATCTGCTTATATATATTTTGGATAATATAGAACATGCATTCTTAACTTATATATGATAATTCGTATATTATTTCTGGCTTATGTTGTATTATGAATATACTTAATTAAAATTAGGCATTCCGGAGGATCACTATTATTACCCTAACCTCTCTGACCAAAGTTGTTATGCTCTAAAAAGGAAATAGTGGTTACAATACTTGGAGTGTAACAAGTGGGGGCCTGTGTCCGGGAGCATAACACTGAATTTCCTTTAAAATGAATGTAGAAATGGCAGAGAGGTTTGAAGATATAACAAAGGAGAGATTACAGAATTTGAAGCTTCAATCTTGTTGGCAATTAGCACGAAGCTTGGGCATAAAATACGACAGGCATTTCACTGCCCAGACAGTCAGATGTATGATACAGAATGTCCTTTTTCCAGATGAGCAGGAGACTGAGAATGGAGAAGCAGATATTCCTTCCTTTTTGAATTCTTTACTACAGACAACCGAGGCCGAAACTACGACGCTAACAACCCCTACTGGAGACGACGGACATGACCTTCCCGATACTCGGAAACGCTACGCTGCTACAACGACTCCAATTCCATCTCCAAGGACTATATGGGGAACAGAACTCCATCAGGCTAAAGAAACGGTTCCAGGTAAACCCTTTACAGATGTTTTTGAAACAGAACAAGAGGAAGTCCTATTGGATGATGAACACATTCCACCTCAAATCTCTTTAGCCCTTTTGACTACTATTCAATCTAAGGAGAATTTCGAACGTCTAGAACGTATTTTATCGCTTCAAACCTCCTTTGTAGAAGCCCAGAGAAAATTAAAAAGGGAGAATTTTGAACGTGAATCTTTGCTTTATGAACGGGAATTACTGAGGAAGAAAAGAGAATCGAGTAATATGTATACAATCCCTTCATTTGACCTTAGTAAAGCAGCCTCTTTGATGCCTAAATTTACTGAGGATAATTTAGATTCATTTTTTGAAGCATTCGAAAATCAGGCGAAGGTGATGCAATGGCCTCCTAAATATTGGGCTGCTTTAATACATTCATCTTTAATAGGAAAAGCTCAAACCATAACTGCAAACTTACCTTTTGAACAATATTCTGATTATACTCGGGTAAAAGATTGTCTTTTGAAAGCTTACGATTTATTACCTGTTAGTTACTTGAAGATGTTTAGAACTCTGAAGAAATATCCTCAGCAGTCTTGGGTGGACTTTGCCAGAGAAAAAATCTCTGCTTTCGAGCGTTGGCGTAGGGCTGCGGGAGCTGCCTCAGCCGAGTCACTTTCCCAGCTGATATTGCATGAAGACCTTTTTAAATATTTTCCAGAGAGGGTTCATACTTATCTTTTGACATTTCCTACTACTAACTTGTTAGATACTGCTGCCCACGCAGATCACTTTGAAATTTCCCATGCTATAACCACAGAAATGTCTAAGACCCTGGAAAAGAAATCTACCTCCCAAGGTTTTAGTTCAAGATTGACTGCTAGGAAAGCTCCAGCTGGCGAACCTTTGAAGGTGTATTCAGACAAAAAACAGGTGACAAACGGCTCTTTCTCCAGGCATTACCCTAAAGATCAATTACCACAGTGCCTTTTTTGTAAAAAGTTAGGTCATAGACAGTTCCAGTGTTGGCATAAACAGCGGGAAGATAAAACCCAACCAAGAGGGAGATATCCTACTCAGGTAATAAATTCCTCTCGGAAGTATGAAACTCTGGATGATGAATCTTTACCTTTCCAGGCCTCGTCTAGCAGACCGTCTAATAGATGACTTTACCACGACAGTGCTTCAGAAAAAAAGGTCCGAGTAGCTATGGAACCCTACTTTTCCCAGGGGAAGTTCGGACTCTGTAAAGAGAGGTTAGTAAATATCACGACCTTTCGAGATACTGGCAGCTATCTCTCTTTTATTAAATCAAACCTGGTAAAGTTACCTACTAGTAATGAACCCCGGCTAGACGTATTATTAGAGGCTTACGGAGGCACAATAATAAAGGTCCCTATTATAAGGATTTATGTGGAACTGCCTGGATATGTAGGCTGGATCAATGTGGGACTTTCAGATAAAACCTTTTCCCATTGCCGGCGTGGATCTATTAATCGGGAACGAAATTGATCAATTGGGATACCAGAGAGCCTTGGTTTTAGATAATCCATGTGATGTAAATTATGCATTAGAAGCCTCTGAGGCAGGGCTAGATTTATTTCCCCTTAATGTGGTCACCAGAGCCATGGCTAAGAACTCTAAAATGTGGATATTCAACAGCCTTTAGAAATGTCCGATGAATTAGGTTTGAGCTTCCTGTTTAGCGAAGCAATTCAGTCGAGACCCACAGGTGACAAAGTTTTACCAGTCCCTGCGGACCTAGCTAGAAAATGTAATAAAGAAGAATTTCTTATAGCTCTAAAGGATGATAAAAGTTTAACCAATAAGGATAAAGAGGTAGGTTACCTTTTAGATGAAGATGGTTTTCTTTGGAAGAGAAATAATGATAATGATTTGAGTTCAAAAGGAAACTTGTTAGTGGTGCCATCGTCCTTACGTAATATAGTATTTGAACTAGCACATGATAATCCACTGGGAGGTCATTTAGGGTCTCGTAAGACAGAGAAAAAGATTAGGAAATATTTTATTTGGCCTCAGATGAGGACTTATATTGCTGACAAACTACGGAAATGCCACGTTTGTCAAATAATAGGCAAAATGGCACACAATCCCGCGTCTGCCCCTTTACTTCCAATAAAATGTCCTGAAGAACCTTTTGAAAGATTAGTTATTGATTGTGTAGGACCATTGCCCCGCACAAAAAGGGGTAACCAGTATATCTTCACTATCATAGATATGGCAACGCGGTATCCTGTTGCTATCCCAATGTCCAAAATTAATTCCAGAAATATAGTGAGAGCTTTAATACGCTTCTTTGCTCAAGTAGGCATACCACGTGAAATTCAATCTGACCAAGGTTCTAATTTTACGTCTAAGATTTTTAAAGAGGCTATGTCTCGATTAGATGTAAGACAGATCCTCTCTACAGCATATCATCCCCAGTCACAAGGAGTGCTAGAAAGATTCCACCAAACCCTTAAATCTACTTTACGTGCTTACTGTGAGCAATATTCTCGTGAATGGGACGAAGGTTTACCCTTTCTTCTCTTCGCCCTCCGTGAAGCTGAACAAGAAAGTACTAAATACTCTCCATTTGACTTGATTTTTGGACATCAGGTACGAGGACCCCTAGCCATATTACAAGATTCTTGGATAGGGAAGAGAGGACCTCTTCATCCCAGTCCTCTGCTTTGGAAAGAACATCTCTCCAAATTAAAAAGCTTAGCTGCCGTGAATCTGACAGAAGCTCAAGCCAAAATGAAGAAATCTTACGACCAAAAGGCTAAATCTCATTCATTCTCTCCAAATGAATTTTTTTTTTTATATTTTATTTAAAAACTTTACAGCTTGATATTAAATAAAGATATAAAATGGGTACAGTAGGATCCTCAATCCTACAGAACATACACTAACCAATTATTAACAACACATTGTAATTGACATAAAAGAGGTTACCCATATACACTCACAAAATTTTCTATATAACATACTATGATAAACAATATAAACTATAACTATATAAACTATATAAAATATAAACTATATACAACTTTCAAATTTGTATAGTTAACATAGTATGACATATGACAAAGGTTCACAACCTTCACAGGAGATAATCAGAGTAATAACCTACATCACAATCTCAGTTATACAATTACATGCTCTTCCCAAAATTAACACCTTATGCTAAATAAATATTAACAAATATTACTAAATATTACTACAGCCTCTTCCAACGCCTGAGCACATTATATAAAATCTGAGACTAAACCATACTGTCCCATTACAAACTTATTAACGAGGCATTACAATTTATGGAAGTCATTAGCGTTCCATCTCGCAGCAACTGGATGAGCACATTATATAATGCTAAAATAAAGACAGTACACTCTCTAAAAAACCCACAACACTCAACACAAACATAATTTAATAACCTCTCATTGCGATACAATTATCGCACATGAAATATGCCCAATAAAGGCTATAAACGCACACTCTACATAAGCCCTAAAGCTCTTCACGGTCTTAAAACTATAATCTTGACACCATTCACACTTAATACATGAAGAAGGTCGTGACGACCCTGACACATCAAACACAGAATTCTCCATTCGGTACTACGTAATTACTTGATATCACCTTTGCTTTCTGTGCCCACTTGCATGCTACATACACGTATGCCACTCATCTACACCTTCATATACCCACATGCACCTTACTCTCACCCCTCCCCAGGAGGCGACCCCGCTGTTGTCCCCCTGAAAAACCCCTTCCCGTATGTAATCCCCAACCCCCCCCCTTACTCACTCAGCCCAAGTCGTAGATTGATGAGAAACCTTAACGTTAACATTCTATACCCTTCTGAAAAATCCTTCTCCCATCTCCTCCCATACAGTTCTCTATTACGACACATCGTACGATAAACCGTTACTGCTAGTACCCGCCTCCGCCCCCTCACAATTCCCCCTCCCCCTCATCACCCACGATATATATATATAATCCACTATTATATAATCCAAAGCTCTTATAACACTCTCATCGAACCCTCCCACATCTAGGCTTAGTGCACGCAGAACCGACACCCCTCGGCCCCCCACCCCCCGTACTACCCTACTTAACCAATACCTAACACCCTCCAGTCCCCCACAAAAGTATACTGCATGGAACGCCGTCTCATCCTCCCCACAGATTCCACACCTTCGCCCACCCAAATTTCCCCTCTGGTTCTTAAAACCTCCCCCGACGGTAGTATGCCATGCAAAAAACGATACATTACCTCCCTTACCCTAGGCTTTAACTTCAACTTGCTAAACCTATACCAAATACTCTTCCATGCGTACATGGGGAACAATCCCTCAACTGGTACAACAATCCTGTCTACAAGCAGCTTACACAAAACCCCTACTCGAATTTTCCTAGGTTCTCTAACCAACATCAAAGCCCTCAAAATAGTTCACATTCCCTCAACTCCACACACCATACAACTTACCCAACTATCATATACTTTTCCCAGCTGCCCTCCACCACACCTTCGCGCAAAACCTCCCATTTAAGAAACACACATTAATCCTCCTTCTCAGATCCATCAACCCCAACCCACCCTGGCCACAGGTAACATTACAACCTCATCCTCAGCCAATCGCACCTTGAACCCCACAAAAAGTTAAAACATCATCTCAGAATTCCCACAAATCGCCGTCCGTTAATGGGAACACGGCTGCTACGTGCCAAACCTTACTATACAATAATGCATTTATAACAATCACTCGTTGCACGAGAGTCAGATGATGAGGTCGCAATGCACCAGACGCCCCTGAATCCTTTCCATTAATCTATTCGAGTTTTCCTCTCGAGCAGCGTCCAAAATCATCCTTATAGGTGATACCACAAATTTTTAAAGACACCGTTTGTTTTCTCACAAGTTAATCTCCCCCCCCCCCCCCCCCTCCACCCAATCACCCAACCCCATGATCATTGACTTCTCTCTATTTACCTGCATCCTGTTGCATTTCCGAACTGTTGCACAACATCATCCAAAACACCCAACGCCATCCCCTCCCGAAACCAGGACTGTTGTATCGTCTACGTATCCTATTATTTCCCGGCCAGCCCATTCCCTACCCCCCCCCATACCTCCACTCGTGTCACATACACAACGTTCAACCATTCTATAGAAGGGGTCCTGAATGCACGCAAACAACATTTGTGACATGGGACACCCCTGCCTTAGTCCCCTACCCATTACAATCTCCTCCCCCAAGCATCCATTAATCTGTACCCTCATCTTGGCTCCATTGTACAACGTGGTTACCCAATTAACTATTTCTTCCCCATAACCCTGCCTCCTAAGTATAGCTCCCAATGCTCCTCTTTCCACCCTGTCATAGGCCCCCTGCCAGTCTAAAGCCAACAATGCCGCCCTCCCTCCCCCCTTCTTTTGACTCCACAAAACTTCTCAGTATTCATGACCCTCAATTTATCGACCTTCCAGGCAAACCATACTGCGTTTTCGAAACCACTCTCCCACCACACATTTGAAACGATTACCCAAGACTTTAGCGAACAACTTATAATCAGCACATAACAGAGATATGGCACGGTACTCCTTGAGGGTGTGCTGCCCCTTACCCTTCTGAACCAACACTACACTGCTGTTGCTTGCTTGTCCCCCATCACACCCTTCTCCTTCATCTGATTAAATAACCAACCCCTGAAACCCCTTATCACCTCCCAATGTTGGGGATAAAATTCAGCGGGAGACCGTCTATTCCCGGTGCTTTGCCTTTCCTCATTCCCCTTAAAGCCAACTCTATTTCCTCCTCTGTTATTACCCCCCCTAAAGCCTTTCTATCACTATTCCCTAAATTACACGTCACATACTCACACACCTTCTCTAAATCCACATTTCCCACCTTCCCACTTGTCCAATACCCTTCATACCATTTTCCGCATACGCACACATTCCTTTTGTAGTTAGTATCTCCTGACCCATTCTATAACCCCCTGCCATCTCGTTTACCTCTAACCTAGGAATAGCTGTAACCTGCTGTCTTTGTTTTTGACGTCGCAACACACACGCCGATGGTTTGTCACCCCAAAGCACCTCCTCTACCCCTGCCTGCACCCTTACCGCTTGAAACCTCTCATTTTGTAACTCCCTCAGTCTCCCCTTGACCTCGACAATTTCATCCATAGGATAGTTGCCCCCACAGCCCCCCTTCCCCTAACAGCCCCTTAACCTGTCCTCCAGATAATTTGAAAGCCCATATTAAAATCATTTATACGTTTGCCCACCCCACATAATATTTCCTAATCCTTTCCTTGGGAACACAATCCCACCATTGTACGACATCTTCCACTCCCTGTGCCTCCTCGCTAAGCTCCTTCCATAGGACAGAAAATCCCTCTAACCCCTCCTCATCACTCAATGCACTTATATTTAATTTCCAGTAACTCCTGTATATTTCTGCAAGGCCTCCCACCCAACCTCCACCAACATGCTCTATGATCTGACCATGCTACTTCAACAGTTTTGAAAGCTCTCACTACAACCCTGTGAGAAAGATACACTCTATCTAACCTCGCTGCATACCCTCTCCTAACAAATGTATGCTCTGTCTCCCACGCCCCCCCCTCGAATGCGTCTCTTAACCTAATATCCCTCAATAAATCTCGTAGGGCCACCGACACATAACCTGCCCCTTTCGGTTCCACATCAGCCCTCCTAATGACGCAGTTCAATCACCTCTACTATTGCCACCTCCGGTAATTGCACGGAAAAAAAACACAAGGTCCTCGCACACAAACTCCTGCTTCACCTGTACGTTATTCTCTGCAGGCGCATATACGCTAATAAAAGCCACACGTTTCCCCATCCACAAACCATCTACGCGCAACCCCCCTTCCCCCTCCCCCCCTCACTTCTCTGCAAAACAAACGGGCTCGCCTCCCTAATTAATATACCACCCCCCCCTTTCAAACGGGCAGATGGCAGGGTTACCACCTGAAACCCCTCCATCTCCAACACCCTACCCTCCTTAAAATTGTGCTCCTGTATGAACAAACATCCACTCTAAATTTATTCAGAAACATTCGAAAAACCCTTCTCTCTTTACACTATTACACAAACCATTAACGTTTACTGTCATACACCCGGAGGCCTATTAAAGTTTCCACCCCTGCCTCCTCTCTTCACTCTTCCGATGGCCACCAGAACGTGTGGGACCACTTGTCACCTGCACACTTCCCTCTCTCCCCCCCCCTTTTTTCGGTGCCTCCTGTCATGGCCACCACTACCTTCACCTTCTGCCCATATTTGCTTCCCAGTCCGCTGCGCTGGCGTTAGGACATCATCTGAATCCGATTGCAGCGGCTCTCTTTCTTGTGACAGGAGCATCCTCCATGGCTTGGTCTGGGGATGCCTCACAATGTACCTCTACCTCCACTGTACACAGTGGCAAAGATCTCGGTGACACCCCAGTCACGCTGTCACTCCCGTCGTCCGAATAGTTCTGTTTTTGATGCCCACAGCCTTCACCTCGTCTTCTACCACCCTGTCAGGAGTAAACCACCTCCTCAGGCGGTGACAAGGACTTCAGAACCTCGGCTAATTCCTCCTCAAGTTCCAACACTTCCTCCTGTACTTTTTGCTCAACCGATCCACTGGAAGTGTGTCTGGACCAGGTGACTGGTCAAGGGCCTCACCCTCTCCCCCCGCCTTATACGCCTCATCCACTATCTCGCTCCATAGACGACCACGCCCTCCTTCACATCGTTGATCAACGCCTGCTTCGGCCCGGTGTAGAAGCGGATGTCTCCGCCCCTGGGCCAGGAGCTCGTTGCGCTTCCCACATTCCGTCGCTATGCGATCATATTCCCCACATAGTCGGCATGTACGCCTTTGCCCGCGTATGACACCATGACCTGTGTCCTGAATTCCCTTTTGGTACACGTAAGACGGTATGGGGTGTCGCAATGTCATTTTTAGGTTAAAAGTGCCCTCCGGCATACCTGTGTAGGCACCCGACACCCCATTACCATGCTGGGCCAAATGAACAGTTCCGTATTCCTCAAAAACTTTTCTGATATCTGTCTCATCCGCCTCAAAGGGGACATTACGCAGTTTAATCCATGTATAATGTCTGGATACATCGATCATCCTCACACGCACAGCTGGTGTTGCATCAAGACTTACGTCCTGAAAACGGTTGACCAACGACTCATAAACCGTTGCTGAGAGCAGTTTCACAAAAAATCTACGTGCTCCGTTCAATGCTACGCCGTACAACTCTCCATCCTGAATTCCATACGTGTCTCTGATGATTTTAGGTAGTAATACCTGGGCTGACGCAGGCGTTATTGCCCCACTAAGAAGTTCAACACCGACAGTGTTAATCCTGCGTCTATAACTGCACGCCATGTTGACTAATGGTAGTTCTCCTGGTCTGACGACAGAGGCGCGACAAGCACCACCTCACACTACTGCTGTCAGGGAACTGAAGTGCGTTTGCGCAGGAGGTCTGCACGGCCCAATAGCGATGCAGACAATATGAACCAAATGAATTAGTGTTAGTTAAAAACTTAATTCAAGGACATTCTTTAAAACCTAGATATTTGGGGCCATATGAAATAGTAGACAAAGAAAATGAGGTGAATTATCTGGTCCGTGAACCAGGACGTCGTAAGAAAATTAAGAGGTATCACATAGATAACTTAAAGAAGTACGAGTCTAGCCTTCTCCCTACTATTATTACCTCTATCCAACCTACATCCACTGAAATAAGGAATGACACTGTAAGGGAAGTAAGAGAATTTAGACTACATAATTCTGAAGTTTTAAAACTAGACCATTTCCTCGAAGTTCTTCCTACCTCCCAAAAATCTCAAATAAAAGAGTTAATCACTAAATATAACTCTATCTTCAAAGATATCCCTACTCCTTGTACATTGGGTTTCCACGACATTGAATTGTTAGAAGATAGTCCAATAAAGCAATCCCCTTACTGGGTCTCTCCTGCTAAGCAAGAATTAATTCAGCAAGAAATAAATACATTACTGGAA